CCCCAAAACCCCAAAACCCCAAAACCCCAAAGAAAGAGTTTTTATTGGAAAAAGATAGAATTAAAATTATCTAAATCAGTTTAAAGTATTCATAATAATAATAGAAACATTATAATTTTAATTAGCAACAGCTAAAATATATTATTCTACTACTTACAATGCAAGCTAATGATTCTCAAAGCAATTAGATACACTAAATTCTTAAGGATTCTACAAATTTAGCAGACTATCATCTCAGTCGAGAATCTCTCTAATAATAAAATAGAGAAGATGATAATTTTTCCTATTAAATGAATTATGAATTGGTTAAAAATGAATCAATTCTTACATCTCAGGATAAGTCAAACTCTCATATTGAAAATTAGACTATGATCAGTCCTTTATATAATGATCAGAATTCTCAACAGTTTGTAGAAAAATGCTTATACTTTAGACCCTTGCCTATTATTATAAAGACTAACTTGAGTAAATTTTTGCACATCTTCCTAGTGATTGATGATGGACTTTTGATTAAAACTCAAAAAGAAATCATTCTCTAAGCCGAAGATTAGCCAGACTCCTCAAAACCAGTTGTGAGAGAATACCTCCATTGGGACTACAGAGTTCGAGGTGAATATTACTATGCCAGACCCTATTTTGATGAACTTATTAAGTATCTATGCACATTGGATACTTAAGCTGAATTTTAAGGTAAACTAGACTACAAGATATCATTGTGCCTCAACTCAGAGAGGAAAAGAGTGATAGGGTTGGCATTCTAAATGTTTTAAGCAAAAAAATTGAGAGAGTTCAAGTCAAGAATACTCTCAATTCATGATGATTTGGAGTTTGATCTCAAGACACAGAAATTTATATTTCCTTACACTATATAACAAAGCTAAAAGTCAGAATAAGAATGCTCTCAAGTCAAGAAATTGGTAATTAGTTCAAATGAACTTTAGTCTGATGTAAAGATATCTAAGCTGACTCAGGAGAGTTTAATTGGAAACCTATCTAGAATTAGTGATAGAGACTTCTACCAAGAAATGTATGAAATCAAGCAATAGATCATACAACTCCTCTATTAATCTTTCCAAGAATGAAAATAATTAGGTATAATTCACTTCTTCAGGCATTTTACTAATTCTTTTTTGTTTTATTGATTTGCTTTTGGTTTATTTACTTTTTGGTCATATTTTCCTATAAATATTTTACATCTTTTAATTTTGAATATTGGGGTTTTGGGGTTTTGGGGTTTTGGGGTTTTGGGGTTTTGGGGTTTTGG